AACTACTAAAAAAGATGCGCATTATTGAGTTTGTGAATCAAATTCACGTTAGAAAATATAAACGCATATTCCAACCACGTAGATTACACTATCTCAAGACTTTTTACAACCATTACAATTATTTTAGCCTAAGTATTTTGATACATTTGAGCGCATAATTGTTCGTGCTAAAATCTACTGAAATCGAGGATATGGTACTAGCAACAAATATTGCAACTGAACGAACCAAAGTAACGACAAATGAAAACTCGGAGAAATCAGACAGAAATTTGATTTTCCCTTGTCCAACATGTGTTACAGAGGTCTCGAAGGGACGGCCCAATTGGTTTGGAAGGTGTTGTCCCCACCGGCGATGGAAGATCGATCCCTCTCAATGTCTTGTGGGTCTGAGTCTGTCACACACATAATTTGCATAGTTCAGTTTACATTCTTGCGTGGTTTGCAGGCTATTACATAGCGGAGGTTTACCTAGTGCACACAGAGTGCTCACCGCAGAGTGTTCACCCGAAAGGTAGAGGCTGTGACAAAGACCGTAACGACTGCGTATTTTCCTGAGGTTCCAAAAAAAAATGTGTTACATAGCCTCATTTGGCTCATCCTATTTTTGGCTATTACAATAACAAATTTACAGCTTGAATTGGAGCCAAAACTTCCAAATTAGAATTCGGATAATCTCATCCGAAGACACTTTTTTCTAATCTTTTTCGAAATCCAGGTCATCGATCCATGACACTACCTTAAAACAAATAATAGATACCCACGTGTACTTCTAAAGCAATAACCTGTACACATTTCCTACTTTTCACGCATCCTATATCAACCGTCGATCTCATTTTCAAGTATTTAGCCAATCAACGATTCTGATCATTCCAGCTCATCAATCCACGCCACTCTCTATTTCTCCAATTAAAACAAACATCAACATTCTATAAATACGAAACGCTCATTTCACAATTTCATCATCGCAATACATTTTGCTTCTCTATAACAAATCTCTAAATTTTACTCTTCCTCTTTATACTTTTCAATGGCTCCTAAGGCCGAGAAGAAGCCCGCCGAGAAGAAGCCGGCCGACGAGAAAGCTCCGGCGGAGAAGAAGCCAAAGGCCGGGAAGAAGCTTCCGGCGAAGGACGGCGCCAGTGGTGTAGACAAGAAGAAAAAGAAGGCCAAAAAGAGTGTTGAAACCTACAAGATCTACATCTTTAAGGTGCTCAAGCAAGTTCATCCAGATATTGGGATCTCAAGCAAGGCTATGGGGATCATGAACAGTTTTATCAACGATATTTTTGAGAAATTGGCTCAAGAATCTTCTAGACTTGCTAGGTATAATAAGAAGCCGACTATTACTTCCAGGGAAATTCAGACCGCTGTCAGATTGGTGCTGCCCGGTGAATTGGCTAAGCATGCTGTTTCTGAAGGAACCAAGGCTGTGACTAAGTTTACCAGTTCTTAAGTTTTTAGGTCATGTGGGAAAATTTGGGAATTTAGGGTTATTTGGGGAATTAGGCTTAGGGTTATCTGGAAAATTTGGGAAACTAGTTTTCCTTCTTTCTTTTGATTTATGATTTCTATATTGTAACTAAACTGCTGTTGCTAAGTGAATGAACAAATCTACTTTTGGGATATTGCTTGTTACATCCTTGCTAATTATTGGCTTTCAATTGAAATAGAGTTCTAAATCATTTGTTATTATTTTTTAATCTTTGTTTATTCACAAATGATATTGGCATTGGTGAATTTTTGTTTAGGTATCTGGTATTGCCAATACCACACAAGATATTTGATGTAGTAGTAGATATTTGTATTTTGTTATTCTCTAGGGAAGGTCCGAGAGAAATGTACTTTGTGGTTGCTGGAATGGCAAGAGAATTGTGTTACTTATAACATATATCAATAAAGGTTGGTTTTCAACTGCTATTTTTGGATGATTGAGGTTCTAATGTAGTGATTTTTGTAGATGGATATATGATTATTAATGTTGATATTGATGGTGGAAGCTTGTTTTTGTTTCTTGTTGAATCTGAAACTGAATGCTTCTAATAATTATGAAAGCTATGTGTTTGTAATTCCTCTAGATATTTAGGGGATTTGATAGTAGACAGAGATTGGCAAATAGATGAAAACCTACTCTGAAATTGTTTCATAAGCTTGTTAAGTAGTGTTATAATTATGCACTGCAGGTTCGACCTTTCTTGGAGCTTACTTAATGAATGAACCTTGTCATGCTGGAACTACCCCGCTATGTATTTATGCTTTATTCGCTATTTACTGTTTGTACATTGTCTGTTTCTTTCTATGTTCTAGTCATGTATGCATCAAGGCTAAATGATAGGAGTACTTTCACTCAAGTCATTTAGTAGTAGTTTATTTCTTTTGTACTTGGGCTGTGATCTGGATTCTTTGCATGGTATTGTTTCAATGGATAGGCTTGTCGCAGTTAACTTCAGCCTTGTTCTTTCTGCTCAAGGAAAAGGCAAAAAGCTGTGTCGCAGTTAACTTCAGCAACTTCAGTCTTGTTCTTTCTGCTCAAGGAAAAGGCAAAACCACTGTTCAGTAGTCAGGGTAAGCCTTTGATACTCTAATTCACTTACGATATTTGTAGGATATAGGAACCAGCAAGTATCAAGGTTGAGACTGGTTTGAATATTCATTTGTATCTTTGTAGTATCTAGTGATGCTGCTTTATCACATTGTTATTGGTACATGTCGTTTAGATTAGGTTCTGTTGAATTGATATAATATTATGTAATGGCAGTGTGGTGGTTGATTTTTTCTCTGCAAAATTCTAGCTAAATGTGAATAAAAGTGCAAAAGCAAGGCAATAGCCAAGAAGTTTAGGCGTCTGGGTTGTTAATCTAGTTCATGTTTAGATCTTGCTTGTTAAGTTTATATTTTGGGGAGTTTGCAGTTCTACACAAAAAAAACCTTAATGCTGGCGCATGTCCTTTTTTGGTTTCCCATTCATCACTTGATAACTTGTGTGATAATGCTTGTGTTGTCCCTTTTTTTATTCCTTTTCCTTTTTCCTCGCTTTTGTTGACCGTCTTGTTATAAGTTATTTAAGAATAAGGACCTAATGAAATGATTTTATCAATTATATCCGTAATCGATATATGGCCTCTCCTGTAGTTTTATATTAACTGAATCATTTGTTAGAAATGAGCAGCATACAAATGAAAGATCCAACAAACAAAAGGTTGATTTTTGCCAATAGGCCGAGCTCTGCAAGTGTTGTTATTGTATAGACTAAAGGACACAGCTTCTAATGCTTTTCTAGATGCAATATCTAACAGTACAGTATACAGGGTTTCTCATTCTTGGGTAGCTCGTTCATGGTCTTCATTTGATACTTGTTGAGTGAAATGCTAATTAACTGATTTGAGGATCTTCTGTCTTTCCTCCAAATTGAAACAAAATGTTGACCTCAGAATATGAGTTTCGTAATCCTTGCTTTTGACTTCTGTTCAAAGGTCTGCTAGTCTCTTCAATTCTTTGAAACTTAGGAAGCATCAACTTTCAAGTTAGAGTAACTTGGAGGAAATTCTTCGGAAAAGATTAACTTCTTTTGTTTCTTTCC